TTCACCTCTATTTTCTACGGAAGCGTAGAGCTGCACTGTTTTGTTGCAAGGATAGATGTGTTTGAGTAGGTCGAGAAGCTGTGGTGATGTATCTAGATGTCTGTGAATTGAGATAAGTCTTTTGTAATGGCTCCTTCAAATATTTAAAGGCTTTACTTCACACTAACCTGCTTCTGGGCCTCTTGTGTGACGACTGTGCTACATTACATGAACAATTGGATGGCCAACTGTGTAAGTGATGAAAGATATGCATTAAATATCAAAACAAGATTGGATCTGTGTGTTGAGTACCACTGATGCAGAGCTACATTTTTAGGCCTTGGGTTCATCAAGAGTACATATAGATTGTTAGATGTGTAAAAGAGATTTATTACTTTTGCTTGACTGGTTTTGTTCCTGTCTCACGCATATTTTGTGAGCAGAGGCATGTTTCAGAAACTTGAGGAAGGCAAACAAGTCTAACTTTGTCCTTACCACTCATTTGTGAGTTTTACCACGAATCTGATCCTTTCTCCAACTGTCATCACACATGAAACAAAAGCAGAGCACTTACAGCTCTTCTTGACATTAGCATGAACATGATTTAATATTGACAGTGATGTATCAGTTGCAGTCATGCTGACAGAAGTGATAACCGCCAGCCAGTTTTTTAACGAGAGTAAAAGATATATCCTGAAGACAGAATATGATCCCAATTTTTATCAAATCAGTGAAAGGCAGCAAAAAGATAAAATGCATATAAAAGAGTATTGATGTATTAGGTTCCCATCAGGAAAGTTTAACTAGAGGCTATCAAATGGGCACATCTGACATTCAAATGCTCTTGCTCTCATCTCAGTAACCCTGTGAATCTCTCTAAAAGCAAAAAGCCATTACTCAAAACCACTATCTGTTGGCAAGTGTGCATCATTCTGTCAGTCACTGCCACATATTGTAAAATTGTTTTTTCAGCCAGTTGATTAATGTGCTTCAGCTATGATTTCATCACCATCATCCTTTATAAAGAGCCGGAACACCAACCCCATCATTTCTTCTCTGGGACTGAAGTCAGTGCACAAGCAGGATTTCTTTCCCCGAGTTCACTGAATTGCCTTTTCTCCAACATGGGACCCAGGGTGCTTTTGCTGCTGGCTCTTGGGCTGGTAATATTAACTGATTGCATCCAAGGTATAGTATGATACTTCGTAAAAATCTTTTTGTATCCTGTGCACCCTATTCTGAAGTCTCCTTTTCTATTATTTTCCTTTTCATTTGTTAAAGGTGTTCATGAGACAAAGAAACAGAGCCTGGTTGTCAGCGCATTCACTGACGGTATGTGAGATTATTTTCTAAACACATTTCGACGAGACCAGCTCCTTAATGATAGTTACA